TTGAACAGTATCTTTCATCTGGTTATTAGTTAGATCAAAGTAATTTTATCAAGTGATTAAGGGGTGGAAAAAAGGGATTGTCTTTGATATTATTGTACTACGAGACCCATTTTTTGTCCCGTAGTTCAACAAGTGCTTTCAAAAGAGCACCACTACGACGAGAAAATTTCCCATTTGTGTCATTCGAAATTCTATCTGTCAGTTTTCCGAGTGTTTTTTTCACACTGTACACCTGAAACAGTACAAACAAATACGTTTGATATTAATCCGTGATTTATAAAATATAAAGTCATTCAAATGCGAGTCGTTCAATTACTTGTTCTATTTTTTTCCCTGCCACTTTTAGCAGGTCACATACATTTTTAAGCGTTTTATTTGACAGCTTATCCGGTACGATTTTTAAAAACTCTTCTAGAATATGGGCTGACAAAACGTTTTCGTTGATTAATTCGCCGATAAATCTGAATTTATAATGTATAAATAATTATTAATTTATATTGCTGATAAATATATATAAATCATAAGGCAGTGTGCAACAAATATTACGTGTACGACTGTTCGGACGTGAAATCGTTTTCACTTGGACCGTTCTGAACCTCGGACAGCAATAGCTTTGTACACCTGATCGCGATCTGTTTCTTCAACGAGGTAGGTTTAATGTGCCGCCCTTCTATCACACCACTTGTCGATACATCCCGCAACGAAGAGCACACGCTCACCAATTGCGGAATAGTTTTGGGATGGATTTTTACCTGTAACAAATAAAATCATATTATGTCCAATGTACAGTTGATTTAAAAATTGTAATTCAAAATGTAAGAAAAAAACAAATAAATAATAATAACAATACCCTTTCGAACAGAAAGTCGATGGCTCTTTCCATCACATCAATATTCTTTAAATGTACCGATAACTCATTTATTGAGGTGCTCTTATTGTCTGCAGTTATGGAATAAATTATCGTTTTAACAGTATTGTAAACTTTATCCGTTTGTCTGGTTCGTTTGTCCGGTTCGTTTTCGATTTGTGTATTATTCTAGAGGACACCATACAAATAATTTAGTAATTTTGTTTCTATTGTTGAAAAATTGTATGCGTAGAGTTGAATACCTCCGGACACACGCTTTCTTGGGCCACGGATAGATCTGATGACGGCAACTTGATGCGTTCAACAGACGCCTCTACAAATGAAGTCACTACTTTCGTCTCGTCCGTCAACCGTGGCTCATCACAGGTAGATTTGGTATTGATCAACTCAAGCGTATCTAGGATCATTGACCGTAATCCCGGGGATAATTTCGCATTTTGCGCAGTCGAGTACTCCTGCAGCCTCTCCAACACGCCACTCTATGATTGTATTGTTAACGTATGAGAAATATAAACGTTTTCAACATATAATATCTAACGAATCTTACATGATTAACTGTACTCCCGGCGTGTTGCAGTATGACGCATACGCATTCGACAGATAATTCTTTTGGACTACTTATTAGTCTCGCCGAGCACATTTCTAAAATCGATGGTACCAAAATTTTCACTTTAAGAAGTTCGCAGATGAATCTGGAAGTAATACGACCACAATTTTTATAACCATTCGAAAAATTATCAGATTTAGTAAGTAGTTAGTTACCTGCAAATTGCTACTGAACGTTTTTTATGAACTGTTTCATTTTCATCAGATTTCAATTGAAGTTTGCGTTTAGTTTCCTGTAACGATACATATCAATTTTAATGAAACTAACCGCATAATATAATAAATCAACAAGAAAATAATATTGTTGTTTATTGGTATTCATACTTTATTTTTGCAAGACTCAATTTCTTTCCGCTCATTGGCCGCAATACTTTTTCGGTCGAACATAGACTCGAACGTGTCTTTGCACTTGTTTATCAAAAGTTTCGTAAACGAAGTATTTATTTTTTTGTAGTCTCCCGACTGGATTTCCTTGTTCTTTATTGCCAAACAAACATGTGCGTAATCTCGTGTCAATGACGGGTCATCTAAAGCCTAATTAAGTTTAAAAATACTAAATCATTTTTACTAGTCTTAAAATAATAGGCATACTACACAAACACAAAATATTATGAAATCATCATATAATATATGAGTTAAAAAAAAAAAAAAAAAAAAAAAAATATAAAATATATACCTTTTTCAAAAAATATTCAACAATACTTGTCAGACAAGCATCCGAATTGATGGGCAGTAAAGTCATGCTTTCCGCCGACGAAATCATATTTTCTTTAGTAATAATGTCGAGAATGAATTGATATTTTTCTCGGATCTCCTAATCGAATAATAGCACCACAAGTTAGAGAATTATGTTACACAAATAGATCGCGGTCCATCAATATAAGTTACTTGTACTCCAGTATTTTCGTTTTTCAGTGATTGATAGTATATTCCAGTATTGGTAGAACTGGAATCGGATCGTACGCATGCCAATACTGATGATTTTTTAACATTATTCGCATCACTAACACACATTGCTGATGACGAATCGTTATGACCGATTGTATTCACGCGTTTATCGTCCTATAATAAAAAGAAAGTTATATTATTTTACTAACCGAAAAACTAGTATCTTGGTTACCTAATACATTAGATTTATATATTTGAAAACAAACATTTACTTTTTGAATTTCGATTGAAATTTTTTGAAAATAATTTGATTTTTGAGCGATTTATTAATAAAAATATGATAAATTATTATACATACTTTAAGTAAACTATTATCAAATGAAAAATTTAACTTTTTACCATTGGCAATACTGCAGGTTTGTACTGCACATTCGTGGATGGTCTATAATCTGTTTTTCTCACGCTTGTAACCACTTTGTTAGGGCATAATGTCGGTTTTGTACGGGCATTCCGTGGTACCCAATCGTTTTCCTTCAGTTCTATAATGTCCAATATCATAAATCTAATTCTTGATGAAATTTTTGTTTTGTTCACCAAAGATTTATACTCTTCTAGTTTTCTGAACGCAACTTTCTATAATAAAAATTATGATTAAACATATGATATAACAGTGTTTGATTGCAACAGCATTTTTAGACGACAGCGTTAATTGTTTATAAAAATAACTGAACTAGAATGTTTCAAATTATATTACTGATATAATGAAATTATTCTTACAGTGTTTAAAGACTTTCCTGCGTGCTTTAAAATATTGCATGCGCATTCCAGTGTTTCTTCGTTCGTACATTTCAGAAGATAATTTATACACTCTTCTAGTGTCCCGTTGGAAATTATATGAACTTTGTGTAATTCACACATGAACCTGAAAATCAATCGACATCGTTTAAAACCATTAAGATTAATTTCGTTCTTATTCCATTGGTCAGTACCGGCAATTTCCTACGGACTTTTTCCTGTGGACCATTTCGTCCTGGTCGTACTCGGACTGCAGTTTGCTTTTTACTTCCTGCAACATTACAATCGAGTTGTAAAATATATGTGCAGTCGATAAAAAAAAAAAAAAAGAATTAGGTGTCAGTAAGAGCGTAATATTATAGATTCGGTATGTTGGCTTTACTTGATCTTTGCATTGATTAATCACTTCAAGACTCTTAGCCAAATTTTGTTCATGGACTTTCATTGCATTAAACCTTTCTTTACAGCACTTCGTCAATAATTTTATAAACGTAGTTTTATCCTTTTTATTTTCTGATTTTTTAAAACTTTCGTCTAATGCAGTACAGATGTACGCATATTGGGGGGTAAAATTCGGTTCAACTATCGCCTATATTTCGAAAATAAAAATGAAAATCGTTTATTGCCGTGGCGTGGTCTGAACATTTACACGACATTCAGAACGTCATGAAAACGTATGCATGTATCATGAATGTCCTGATTTTCCGAAATACCTTTTGAAACAACAGATCAATTACGGTTTTCAATTTATCGTCCGTATCGATTGGCAGAGATGTAATGCTCTCGGCCAACACGTTCATATTTTCCGGCGAAATCTTATTGAGGATTGCCATAAATTTCTTCCGAATTTCCTTTTTCAACAAAATTTTTATAAATAATGTAGATACTCGTGCACAAATGTATAATATATATCAAATGATCAGTATGAACGGCTGTCTATCTCGCGTTTGTATTGGAAAGATTTTTCTATTGAAAGCGTAATCTACATTTACCTCTGTGCTGTTACCGTCCGGTGAACCACTTGCAATATTTTGCTTCAAGCACCGTGGAACCCACGCGTTTTCACAAGTTTGAAGTTTAACTTCGTTGTTCTTTGAAAGGTAGTAATTAATAACTTTTCCGTTCGTTTTCCCGGTGCTTTTGTTAGCGTTGTACGCAGACGGTGTAAAAGTCTAAAATCAATTAGTTTCTCAGTCAAAATGTTCGTATAAATAATGTAATTGGTCACTGTTACTGGTTTCCCGGTTTGATAGGTCGGCCGTTGACCGAATGCTCTGGGGAACGACGACTGCTCAGGATAAGTGACTCGTCGTCCGTTTACAGGTCTTGGGTAACAGTTTTCACCTGCACCCATATCTCTCGACTGGTTTTCCAAAGCTTCAGAGTCTAAATATAAATTGCACACGAAAAACGATGACAAAAATCTTTCACAATCATAATTGTTTCATGAGATATTATTACTTACTATTGGTCTTTGCAAAAGTATTCATCTTTATACCTTACTTTATAATAAGTAAAACTGAAAAAATTAGAAAAAAATATTCTCAAAGAATTATTAAATCAATAATATATATTGATCAATAATATATTGACGAATAAGAAAAAATGAAAGAAATACAAAAAAGAAAGAAAAAATTCTGAAAGAATTATTAAGTCAATAAAATATTGATCAATAATATATTATAATGAAATACTAATAGTAGACTTGTTGCGCTGTCAGAAAAAAAAATGTTAGCGTATCTGTTTATATGCATTTCGGTAGCTACACGATACATGCAGCTCGCCGCAGCGACGATGTACAATTTAATGATAACAATCGGTTTCCTTTTGATTTCCGACGGATTAAAAGATGGATCGATATTATCCGAATGTTCTTCACTTATTCCGCTAATATATTATGTTCTTACATGTAAAATTGAATATATTATATATTATTGGTGACGATTTTATATAGTACTGGTAAATGCGCGCGCTCTATTTTAGTAGTATGATTGGTATAATTTTGCCGCTACGTGTCGCGTCGTGAGCGTGACTAATATATATTTCAATATTTTCTTTTTCTTTCGTGCGTAAAATATGTGTTAATAACAGATTTTTTTTTTCGGTCGTAGAAACAATAAACAATAATGACCAGACACGGGGCTGAGGGATGGCGAGGGAGGCTCTAGCACTACCAGAAAAAAGTTTAAAAATATGTATGATATAATAAAGTTATAAATCTTTATTTTTAAAAGAGATATATCAAAGAATTTATGAAATATACATTTTTAAAATTTATAATTTATGTAAATACTTTCGTATTTTCGAAGATTTGTGTTTTAAGTTTTAAGTATAAAATAAACTTTAAATTGTATTACTAAATTATTTTACTCATGTACTTATGATTTATTACCATTTGTTCGTTTTCATCTAATAGTGGTTGTTTGTCTCGAAAATAATAATAGCTAAATTATGTTATATGTTACGGAAATATTTATATTTCATTTAAAAAACCTCAGTTTTGTTAAAAAAAAAACCTTAGCCCATGTATAAAAAAATATTCGTCCCACTCTGCCCCTTCCCAACCAGGAAAAAATTGTAGTTCCATGCCTGATAATGCCAAAAATAGAATTGAGTTTTGCGATAAAAGATGATTCTTGAAGATCAATCAGATAACAGATATTCAGAGACACTCCTTTGATGTAATTTAATTTATTTCATCAATTCCTATTCACCGTGTATTAATAATCAGTGGGTAAACCAGTTAGTACCTATACCAGTAAGTAAATAATACATTTCACTCATGATTAGTCTTTTTATTTT